GGCAGGTGGGACGGGGGCGGGGTCCACGCGCTTGCGCACCGCTGCCGGCCTCGCGCCGTAAGGAGTGGCACTTTTTAAAAGTCCAGCCTGGAGGCCAGCCTGTAGGCGCGAGTACCTCTGTCCGAACCCCGTCTCGCCGTGCGCTCCAGCCCCACACCGGTGCAGCCCAGGCCAGTTCATCTCGCATCATGCCGGTCAAAGGAGGCACTAAATGCATCAAATACCTGCTCTTCGGCTTCAACTTCATCTTCTGGGTAAGTGAGCGCAACGGTCGCGCGCTCCTCTCCGGGGCCAGCTTCTCCGCCCCGGTGTGTGTGTGACGGGGGAGGCCTGTCCGTGGTCGGGGGTGCCGGTAACTGGCACTACCCGCTCGATAGACTCGGGCAGAGGAGAATGGGCACTGCGGCCTCCAGATGGCTGCTCGGCTGGGTCCGGGGATGGGCGGGGCGGGCGTGCTCGTAGAGGGCTCCCCAAAGCCGGACAGGCAGGGTCCCCAGTGAGCTGGGGCGTGGAGACCGGCCCCTGGCCTCTTCTTCGCCAAGGGTGTGGGCCGGGGTTTGTGTCTGCCCCTCCGAGTGCGGGGGTGGGGGCTGGTGGCGGAGGAGAAACGGAGCACCGGGTCCTGGGAACTCAAGACCCTAGCTAAGTTGGACCGTTGCGGACAGTGCAGTTCGTGACCGAGGTGGGGGGGTCTCACAAGTGGCTGGGGCCGCGAGGAGAGGAGAATGCGGGCGCTCTAAAAGATTTCGGTGGCGCAGGGAGAGCTCCTCCAAGAGCCGTTTTACGAGGCACTTTTACACTGGAGAGGAAGGGGCGCGCGGGCAGCGCATGCCTGGGACACCGTCTGTACGTGAAAGTCGGGGACCACCTCCTCCACCTTCGAGGAGAGACCTTCAGCCCCTTCGTTCTCTCCAACTTTGATTCCGGGCTGCCGTGAGAAAGTCCGAGCTCCCTCGAAACTACCTGAAAGACTAGCTTGTCTTGATTTTTTTTTTTCAAGTGCGATAAGTATCTGAACTGGAGAGAACTCTGGGAGAGTTGGGGAGAGGAGGGGCAGATGCCGGTCGGTGCTTTTAGTGGGAAGAGTCTGTGTTTCTCCATTTCCGGGAGAGATCAGGTGCTGGCCGCAGGGCCTCCGGCTTCTCCCCCTCCCCCGTCAGCCCACCCAGAGGTTAGAGCGCACGTTCACCGGCCCGGCGGCTCTGGGACACTCCCGCTGCTGGCCGCACCCAGCCCTCTCTGCAGTGGGAAGCCTGAGGGAGGCAGCAGGAAAGGGGAGCTGCCCACATCTTCCCTTGGGGAATTAAGGGACCACCTAGAGACAGAAGCAAGGAATAGGAGATCTTCGTGTCCTGGTTCTGAGGCCCACATCCCCTGTTCACAGATGGGCAGTATTTGCCCCTCTGCATTCAGAAAGGAGTTTGGGAGGGCCCCTGTGACACTCTCAAGAGATGGCTGTAAAAACAGGCATGCCACCAGAGGCTTATAACAAAAAATGTGCTCATTCCCCTGGAGCTGGTCGTCGGGGGGGGGGGGCCCAAAAACCTAAGGGCGAATCTCCTGGGATTTAATCCTCTCTCTGGAGCTGACAGGGTGAGATACTGATCTGCCTTTGCAAAAATCACCACACCCAACACATATGCTAGTGTGGATGGCACATAGGTGTGCCCTGCCCAACCCTTGGCCTGCTTTAGGGGAAGATAGAATGGCATTGAGTTTTATAGATGGCTGTTACTATAATCATATGGATTATGGTTTCTGCTACTCAGCATATAAACTGTTCAACACCACCACCACCAACACACACACACACACACACACACACAAGTATTCCCAGCAGTTAGCTGCCTAGCTGCCAGGCTTGGCTTCCTCCTCTCACCAACTCCTGCTGGCACTAGAAAAGAATGTCAGAAGGTAAGCTGGCCCCACCCCACTCTTGCCCTTTAGGGAGTTTTCCTCTCTCCTCCCTAGTAAGTCTCTCCCCTGACAGTCTGTTAGTCCTCAGCCATCCACCTAGGCTGCATCAAGGTTTGGGTCTGGGGGGAACCACAAATTACCAGGGTGCCTCCACACCCAGACCTGCCCTGTAGCACACTCAGAGCCTGACTGGAGGCTCCTAGGGTCACTCTGGTATGAACTCACCCTTTTACTGTCTCTAACCTGCCACCCTCCATATTCAGAGCCTCCCCTGCCTAGGCTAGGTGCTACTAGCAAGCTATGTTGTCTGAAACAAAAATGACTCAACTCGGGAAATGTTTAGGTTTAGAGCTAGGAATTACTTTAGAGATTATCCAGTCCTGCCTTCTTATTCACAGTGAGAAAGCAGAGAAACCAAGCCAATGCTATGATCCCTTCTAGTCTTATCCATCGTAAAACCAACAAGAGGACTTGGTAATGGGCTGGTGTGGGGGTAAGCAGTAGCTACATTTTTCTGAATTATTTGTTCAGTAGTCCTGTATCAACATCCCTATAGAGATGAAGCTTTCATCCCCTAGGAGATGATAGAATAAAGGAATTCTGTGATCCATTTGTGTAGCATTTTACACCCTGCAAAGTCTCGGCCCCGATGACATAGCCAGAGAACAAGAAACATTATCCCCATTTTACTGATGACCAGAAAGCTAGTCCCAGAGAGGTTAAGTGACTTATCCAGGGTCATGTGGCAGGATAGCATCAGCAGTCAGTTGGAAAGCAGCTCTGGTTTGCTTCAAGTCCAGTACACTTTGCATCACAACCTGCTGCCGTACCCAGCTGGGTAGAAATGAAGGAAGGGTGAGAATGGGCTCTCAAAAATGTTTTATGGGAAGCTATGATCTAAGGAAACTACTTGGATTGTTATGATGTCAGCACTTCCCTTCCTCTCTTGAGGCCGGGAACTTATAAACTTGACATTGGGGACCTGACGTGGGCCTGAAAAGCCAAGAATTCTGAAGCCAGAGGCCACCAGCACCTCCTAAACAAAGGATGTGGAGAGGGGCAAGCTAGCAGGGGTCCAGAGAGAAGCCCATCTCAAGGGGGAGTGGGACTATCAGGGCAGGGTGACTTCTCTGGCCCCCTCTTCATCCCCATGAGACCCTTAGTGACAGCCAAGCCTGTACTGCCTGCCCTTCCCTAGCAGGGCCTCTGATGCCCACAGCCAAACCAGCAATCAGTCATTTCTTCCAACGCCCCCGGAAGCCTAACTTCCCAGCTCTATTTCAATTGTTTCTGTATTTACTTCAGACCTGCCTGCCTGCCTGCACCCCCCAAAAAAGGTTAAGAGTAAAAACATCTTACTGATGTCAGAGTGGTGGACTCCCAAGTATAAGTGGGGAACAAGGCGAGGGCCAAGCCAGGAACATATATCCCCATTCTGTCCCTCACTCGTCCTCCGCAAATCCTAGGCCTGCATTGAGAGGGCCCAGTTCCTACCCCCATCTCCCTCTGCCCCTTCACTCACTGCCTCTCACCCCTTACCCTCCCTCACTGATGGAATAGCAGGGGACTTCTTTTTCCCAAGAAATGGTGTCACTTGGACTTAATGGAGGCTTCTCGGAAACATGGACAGAGAGGATGGGAATTCAGAGATGAGTGTTAAGTCCCCGGCACACTTTGAAGCCTTGGGCAGATCACTTTTGTGCTCTAGAACTGTTGCCTCATCTGTAAAACCAGTGGGTTGAAGCAAATGGTTTCATAGGGTCCCTTCAAGCTCGGTCTATGAAACAACCCTGCCCGCACTGCCTGCAGCAATAGGACTTTCCCACACGGCCAGAAAAATCTGCAATGAGTACTGAGGCTTATCCACAGAGCTTGGCTTCCATTGACCTTTACCTCTGGGATGCGATTCTATTAACCTCACAGTTCCCTCTGCTCCCCCTGGGTGCAGGGGCGGGGGTCTCTCTGTTCAGGGTTCTCTGTCTTCATCGACCTTAGCCATTGTGGTAGTATAGCCTAGTGATCAGAACACCAGCTCTGTACTGGATTTACCCATCACCAGATGGAGCTGGTGCCTGCCCCACGGGAGAAGGGGGTGAAATAAGAGAATGTATGTGATGCACTTAGCACAGTAACCTAGTCCTGGAAAAGTCCTGTAGCTATTGTTATTCACCAGAAGAAATTAGATTGAGGCCATTGGAGGAGTAGGAGCAATTCCCTAAGAAGTGTGGAAGTGTAAACCACAGATGAGCCAGGAGTGCACTCCCAGTCCACACGCATTCCTCCCTCCTCTTCCTGCATCACAGCCAGCCTCTTCCAGCTCTGGGTTGGACACTGACCCCCTTTCATGTATGGCTACGCATTTGACTGTGGGGCCACCCCACTTCTGAAAATAAAACTGCGTGTCAAAGAAACCCTAAGATGTCAGGGTGCTGGATCTGGGCGCAAGGTGCGAACTTGTGGAATGATGGTGGCAAAAGCTCCCTCCATCCAACCTGCTGCTTCACCCAGAAACTGTTGGGCTGAGCAAGCTGCTGGGGCTGTTGAGTAAAATGGCTTCCTGCTTTTGGCACGCAGACAGCTGGAGCTCTGAGAAAGCTGGCTGTGTTTGTACTGAGGCTGGCAGCTTTGGGGAGAGGTGAGGTTAGGCCAGGTGTCTGCATCTGCTAAGGAAAAGCTGGCTTCTCCCCTGCCCAGAATCTTCATGGCTTTCTCCCACTTTTTGACCGTGGTTGTCAACAACAGAGAATCTGATTCCTGCTTTTTGCGGGGTGGTAGGGAGGATTCCTCCACACATCTCCCTCTTCTCTCTCTCTCCCTCTCTCCCCCTTTCTTTTCAAAGTGGCCCGTGGGCACCATTCCATACCTTACTCTTTTGTACTCAAAGGAAGCAGCTGCTGGCTTAGACCCGAATTTGGAACTGCTTTGATAGGCAGCCCTATTGAGGGCCACCCTCACCAGAGCACTTACTCTGCTAATTGACTCTTCTATGGCCACAGACCTCACAAAACTGTGTTCTCACATCTTCCTTTAGTGTTGGATGTGCATCTTCCCTCTTACACAACTGTGTGTCCCATGTTTGATTTGTCTCTTTGTTTTCCTGTTCAATTCCACTTTATAAGGCAGCATGGGTTTTTTTAATTGGTCACACAGGTTGGAAGTTAATAATACGCCTTGGACTTACAAAAGCACCTTTTCTTCTGAAGAACACAGAGCTTGATGGTATGTCTGGCTATGAGGGTAGGAGACCTGAGGTCACAGTTTCCATGGCTTCTGTGGTCCTGCTGCCTCCTTAGTGGCTGCGTGTTCTAGATCAACCTGTGTCGAGTTGGTTCGGGAA